TTGTGATGAAGATAGGAGAATGTGGAGTGTAAAGGTATGCGTTCACTTTTAACCCTTATTCAAACGCGAGCTGGTATGCATTTTTTTTACAAAGTTGAAGTGGATTTTGGGTAATTGTGGGTCACTTATTTCATATTTTTTATCAAAATTTATAAAAAAATAGGGGAAGGGGTAGTTTTTTGGGTGGTAAATAATTTACCATTATCCATTCATGACTACGAATTATTAAATGTTGGTGGTAAAATAGTTACCATTGTCCGTTTTGGTTTATTTTTGGTTCTTGACTAGTGACTTCCTCTTGGTTCTACCTATATTTTATTAAATATTTTGGGAATGAAATAAATAGAGTGCATTACCGCAGCAAAATTTTTATAAATGTTGTGCTTTAGAGAGTCGAGAGTATAGCAGATAATTAGTCCATCGTGAGCAGAAATTTGTCCACTAATAGCAAAATTCGTTCAAATTATAGTTTTAAAGTTATTAGGAAAAAACAGATTTTGCTGGGGTAATGTTTGAAACATTACCCCAGCAAAATTTTTTTTTGAAAGTCGTTCTATCCCGGAACCAAATACATGGATAGATAGCTTTTGTTGCGTAGTAATTTGTCCACGAATAGCAAAATTTGTTCGTGTTCCGGTTCTCAAGTTATTCAGAATTTTGCTGGGGTAATGTTTTGTGATGTCCCAGATCTCGTAAATGGCTCAACGCAGAAGTTTGAAAAAAATACCAATGATAGACCTTGATATGTCCAAATTAGTTCAAGCATTAGTCATTGATTTGAATGATAAACACCAGTGTAATTAAATGATTTCGAAAATCAGATAAAACGGATTTGTGAGTAAACCAGTACTCTTACAATCGAATAAAAAGGTGTAGCATGTACCCTTGGTACACCTTTATAACCACAGTAAAATAAATGATGTGGCTTTGCGCAAAAGAGAGATTTCAAGAAATTTAATTTATTTTAAAAGTCTTACTTTCGTGGCCGAATACGCAATTCCATTATAACAAGGGAACATGGCATACAATGGACAAATTAAAATGTTCTTTGAATAAGCTATCCTGTTAATTTCAGCTTTATATTACGGCTTATAAGAAAGTTATCGGACTGCAAAAAAATATCAGGAATTCTTCTATAAGCCGACCAAATTATAAAGGTCACTAAAAAGCGACCGTTCCATACATAAGGCTTGCCATCTTAAATCAACGGTATGATATCGAGCTTTCGTCAGTACAGTTGCGAACAAAGGTGTTGTGTTGAGTTGAGAGGTCAGATTATTGAAATAATAAAACAAACGTTTTTTTTTTTAAATACATTTTAAAAATAATTTACATTTCAGATAACAATGAAAGGATGACATTGCAAGGTGATGCCAGTCCAGTCTTAAATCCGTTGATATATGCTGCATCTGCCATCTTTTTTACTAAAAGATTCTTCTATCTCGCAGCTTAGACTTTTACTACAGACCTTAGACAGTATTTTTGGAAAATTCTTACGCATGGCGGAGTAAGGGACGCTCTAGAGACTCTCATGTCGACAAGGAGTCACATGAACTCCAGTTTTAAATCCGTTGACATCTGCTGCATCTGCCATCTTTTTGGCTAGAAGATTCTTCTATCTTGCAGCTTAGACCTTTAGCTACAGACCTTAGACAGTATTTTTGTGAAAATTCTTACGCATGGTGGAGGAAGGGACGCTCTAGACACTCAAATCTACAAGGAGTCACATGAACTCCAGTTTTAAATCCGTTGACATCTGCTGCATCTGCCATCTTTTTGGTTAGAAGATTCTTCCATCTTGCAGCGTAGACCTTTAGCTACGGACCTTAGACAGTATTTTTGTGAAAATTCTTACGCATGGTGGAGGAAGGGACGCTCTAGACACTCAAGTCTACAATGAGTCACATGAACTCCAGTTTTAAATCCGTTGACATCTGCTGCATCTGCCATCTTTTTGGTTAGAAGATTCCTCCATCTTGCAACGTAGACCTTTAGCTACAGACTTTAGACATTATTTTTGAAAAAAAAAACGCATGGTGGAAGGACGATGGAGACTGATTAGAAAGAAGAACGGTCACGCCCCATACAAAAAAAACCCAGACCCGACAGAAACGAGACATACCTCAGTTTTTTTGTCATGTCTTAATTAGTTAAATTATATATTTTTTATATTTGAAATCTATGTATAACACCAAAATATTACCCTTTGTTTTTGTTCAGGCGTTATACAAAAACTAATACAAAATGCCTATTTATCACCAAAATTGGTAAATGTATTTACCTAAATGTCAATTACAGCTGCTATGGAATGTATCTAGGTGACCTGGAGATACAGCCGGATTATACAGGGTACCTTTATAATTTGGTTGGCTTATAGAAGAATTCCTGATATTTTTTGCAGTTCAATAACTTTCTTTTAAGTCGTAATATAAAGCTGAAATTAACAGGATAGCATAATCAAGGAACATTTTAATTTGTCCATTGTATGCCATGTTCCCTTGTTATAAGGGAATTGCGTATTCGGCCACGAAAGTAAGACTGTTAAAATAAATTAAATTTCTTGAAATCTCTCTTTTGCGCAAAGCCACATCATTTATATTTACTGTGGTTATAAAGGTGTACCAAGGGTACATTCTACACCTTTTTATTTGATTGTAAGAGTACTGGTTTACTCACAAATCCGTTTTATCTGATTTTCGAAATCATTTAATTACACTGGTGTTTATCATTCAAATCAATGACTAATGCTTGAACTAATTTGGACATAATATCAAGGTCTATCATTGGTATTTTTTTCAAACTTCTGAGTTGAGCCATTTACGAGATCTGGGACATTNATTTGTTTACTTATCAATGCCATTTTACAACTTTTCAACGTCATTTGTCACTGTCAGGTAATGTCAAAGTCAACCAAACGGTTTTGGTGTGAAAAATTTCAAGTTTTTAGCGCGCGTTTTTGGTATTTTTGAAACTTTGTTCAACGAAAATTCTGATAAGTGTTTTTTGGATTCAAATTCCTAAACTATAACATTTATTGTAGAATCTCACTTATAGGCAACGTCTGCAATTGATTTATTCATATAATTTAGACATTTTAAAGAAGTGGTAAATAGTTTACCATTGTCCGATCCAGGCGCGGATCCACCGTTGTGGGCACTGTGGGCATGCCCACAACCCTAATTTGCTTGTTTTAATTATGATCTATTGATAAGATCCATAGGCTGATGATAACAGTGAACGGAAAACCGATTTATAAGGATAACCGGTATAAACGGTTACAGATTCATTTGGAAACCTTTTGATGCGGTTACGTGTTAATACTGTTAACACTTTCAATAGGTTAATTAAACGGTCCCAAAACCGAAATAAAACGGTTACCGATTAAAACTGTATACCAAATTAAACCGATATGTATTTCGGTTTTAAATGTTACGAACTTAGATTAATTACGAACAAGTAACAGAGTGAGACAAAATCTGTGAGCCAAAGTTTGAAATAAAAAATCTGTACGGTTCCTTTGCTTTAGTTTATAATTATTGTTTTTTTATAAAATTGGCTCCTTCGAATATGAACATATTAATAAAGTTTTTTTGTTTTAAATTATTTGTTATATGCAATCAAACGTTAACGCGAAAAAGAGATGAAAATAGTAGGCGGCCTCTTTACCCGCTCGCTTAGTTTTCGATTCGCGGTGCATTTGATGTTGACTACTGCCGGGCGCCGGCGTTTGTGCTGTTTTGAATCGTTCTACCTCATAATCGGTGACTCTTAGGAAAAAGGGGTAAAGACAATTTTAATAGATAATTTTTTGATCTAGTATTATTTCTTATCTATTTTAATGATAAGTTTACTACTTGGCCAAAAAATGCAAAAAACTTGGGACCTCGAAAACTTTTTTTTAAATGACGGATCGTTGGGGATTTTTGACATTTCATTAATGATGGTGTTCTCAACATTCACACAAATTTTCAGCTCTATGCGAATTATTATCCTGATGATGGAGTCCGGAGGTGGCCATAGGAACTCCTAAACGAAAAGGCGGAATCGCATCGAGTTTGGGTTCGTTGGATTTGTCTTTTCGAGCAGTTTAGTGCTAGATGATGTCCAGGGTCCTGATGATGGATTTGGGAGGTGGCCATAAGNAATAAGGGTTAAAGTTATTTTAGATGAAGTTTGAGACATACCTACATTGATTGGTCGTACCTACGACTGTTTGGAAATATTTTTGGGTGCTCGAATCCTTTTGAATCCTCGAATAGAAGCTCTTTGATCCATTTGGAAACCATAAAAGTGAATTTGAGAATAAAATATGTAAGTAATTGTAACTTAATGTTAGGGTTACCAATTCCAACTCTGAATACTTCGACCGATACCTAACTTCTTTATCTATCGTGTAAACAGCAGTTCCACACTCTCCCTATTCTTCATTGAGGCACGTGCCAGTACGCGGCGATAGAATTATCGGAAAGTGTATTCGAGAATTACACAAACAAACGTAAACATGTAGATTTTTAGATATAACTTCTGACGCTGATGTCCTCATTTCTGAACCACTGTGTTGCACCATCAGAAACGTATTGACAGATACTTAATGTACGAGTACGACATACATCTAGGATGAATACTAACTAGGGCGTTTTAATTTAATGAAATAAATAAAAAATTGCGGACTAACATAATCAATTTCGCATACTTTTGACAAAAGTTCAAAAGTAGGCAGTAGGTTAGACTTTGTACTAAAGCTCAAAAGAAAAGGCTCGTCATGGCAAGGCGTGCTTATAAGTGTAGCATTTTGTGATGTCACGCGGAAATTCAACGCATCATTTATCTTCGTAATTAATTTTTTGATTGACAAATAAAAATATACCTACGTTTTCTTGTAAATGTAATTATAAAATTTTTATTGTTAATTATTAAGTTCTATTAAAAACTGGAAAGTTTTAATGAATCTTTCCACACCCATATCTCAGAATACCGTTAAAAATAAGTATATTCGTATGTATAGTATTTACGTACGTGCCTAGTTAGTTTAATCTTTTAGGGGGTCAGTCAGCAACAAGGCCCATCACGTTATTTGTCACAACGACATTTAATCGCAGCCGTTAAGTTTTTATCAATTGGGCAAATTTAGTTTTTTGTCTCTACTGAGAAACGTCTGAAAATGCGATAAGTATGTTTGTGCGAACAGTGCCCGGTGATTGTTCCATATATATTCGGAACTTGGAGCATCGTCTTCAATCGGTCTGTGCTCGTAAGATCACACACGACGTGCCGGGTGTTGTTTAGCAAGTTCATAGTTAACAGTTTAGTTAACCGAATTTTTAAACGTAAGTTATTTGAATTTAACGGCTTAGGCTCAGGCTTTAATAATATTTTAACTTATAGAAATTGATAATTCTGGTAAATTTTTTAAACATTTGGTAAAATAAGGCAATTATTAAAAACAAAAGACTAGGAATTCAGTGATATTACAATCAATTTTCATTTTTAGCTTTCGTATCAAATAGGTAGAGCGTAATTTGAATGTTTTTTTTTAAAAGTCACCTAAGATATTTAACAGGAGTACATTGCATACATTTTAGCTTGCTGACTCGACACTACTAACCTACATACAATGCAAACAGTTTTTCTGCTGAAATTTCAAAGTTCATATCAACTAGGGATCAGAATTTTAATTCAAAAAAATTTGAATTGCAACGCGTTGTCGTAAAGTTGGTTAATAAATATATTTTAGGGTTTTATTAGTTTAGTTAACCACAGTTTAGAAATGGGTTCAGGTAATCACAAAACATCTTTTTAGTTGTAGTGAGGTCCTCCTAGACAAAGTAATTAAGTAAAGCTAGGTGATTGATTACTTTGATACGTTTTTTTGTAGGTACGTACAACATTAAGCTACTCTTAATTAATTATGTTGTAACACCGGTGTATTCATTGTGTTATATCATTGTCTATGGGTGTAACTGAACTCTACAGAAGGTTTACGAATGAAAGTCCAAAGGTCACTAGAAATATATTATTTTTATTTTCCTTGATCTCACAATGGGCAATACAATCATAAATACGTTACTCTATGTGGGGATTGCCTATTTCCTGAAGTAGAAAGTAAGCATAGGGGTGTTTTTGTCAATTGACATCATTTTTTCATTGGACTTTTTGTTAGAGGTAATTTAATATAGGTACAAGTAGGTAATTTATTACGTAACAAATTTTAGCTGAAAATTCGGGAATGCGTGCAAAGATAAAGTATCGATATTAACTAAACGATCGTCATGCACAAACAGCGTGTACCTCGTACGGAGCTTCCTCGTACGAAGCTCTAGAGTTCATACTGAAATAGTAACCGTGACCTTGTTGCGTCAGCGCAGCCGTCGCTATCAACTTATCGGGTGTTGACCGCGCTGTCGTTTGGCAAGGGTTAATGAACGATCAAATATCGGGTTCAGTTGCCACGCCCATGTCTTATAGATTTTTCAGATGCATTGTGGGTATCTCACGGATTCAGTTGCACGCCCATGTTGCGCATGTCTTTTGGATAATTTTGATGTAGAGATGCATTGTGGGTAGGAAATTCGACTGCAGTTTCAGTCAAGCAAGATGTTATCTTTCATTGAATAGGATTTGATGGACGCGTTGTAACTTATTGAGTCGCTAGGTAGAAATGAAATAATAGAAATATTATTAGAACTATCTTACTTAAATGAACACGTAGGGGATCTTTCCGTAATTCCATTAAATTGGTCAATGGCTATTTGTAGTGGGTCTTGATTCACGTGACGTCAGATATATTAAGCCGAGCTTAGAAACTCCTTAGTTTTATATAATTTGATGATTTAATTAATTTTACTTTTTTGTTTATAATTTTACTAACTGTTCAAGACTACTCAATAGGCTAGTTTCCTAAAAAAATTTTTTTAGTCCGTCATGTTTAATATCAAAAAATATTGGACACCTAGATTTTTATTTGTCAATCTAACAAATAATTACATAGTTATGGTGCGTTGAAGTTCCGCGCGACGTCACAAAGTGCGGCACTTTTATTCACTCATTGACGTCACGGGCCTCTTCTTATGAACTTTGGCGCGCTTTATCTCTTTAAATTTTCATTAGTTTGAAAAAGTGAAAAATAAGGTGTAGCGAAATGTCATCGTGTGGTTGGCAACACTGCTTTCGCTTACCAACATAAAAACGGGCTTGTCAGGCTGCCGCTAGATGACACTTCGTACTATATAACTCGCCCGCCAATTATAAATAATTGGCCAANAGATGCATCGTGGGTAGGATTCGACTGCAGTTTCAGTCAAGCAAGATGTTATCTTTCATTGAATAGGATTTGATGGACGCGTTGTAACTTATTAAGTCGCTAGGTAGAAATGATATAATAGAAATATTATTAGAACTATCTTAAATGAAATGAAGGATCTTTCCGTAATTCCATTAAATTGGTCAACGGCTGTTTGGAGGGGGTCTTGATTCACGTGACGTCAGAGATATAAGCCGAGATTAGCAACTCCTTAGTTTCCTTTCTTTTAAGTGATTTGATTATTTAATTAATTTTACTAAAAAGTAATTGTTTATAAATTTATAAAATATACAAACAAAAATGTTTATAATTTTTATTACTCAGATTTAAAAGAAAAAATCGACGCTCTTTAATTATCGAGGCGATTCATTTAACCCTTAACATTTTCATAATTAACATAAGTATTTATTTTTATAGGTAACACATCGATATCACAGTCGTAATGGCATCAATGGCATTAAAGTCCGTATTGGTGGTGGCACTGGCATGCATCCTCCACTGCGAAGGAGCTGCCTTGCCGCACGACCAGGCCAGCAGACCGGTGGTCGGTATCCTCGCCCAAGAACAACCTTTATACCTGAGGAATAGGTTCTCGGAAGAAAATTACACGAGTTTCATAGCAGCCAGCTATGTGAAGAACTTGCAGTTTTCTGGAGCGAACGTCATTCCTATACCGTAAGATTTTTTTAGACTGCATTTCGTTTGAAAGATTTTATACTCAATTGTAGTATTTATTGGAAGTTATTTAAACTCTTTTTGCTTATTTCAGTATTGGAAGAGACCGTCAATTTTATAAGGAGTTGATGCAGAAAATAAATGGGTGAGTAGAATTATTTGTATAAAAGAAATGAAAGTGCAATTTTTTTTAAGTGATGATGTGGGAGTTAACCCTATTTAAGTAAATTACAAGCATTGATAAGTTGTTTTTGTTTGTTGTCTTATTTATACTTACGTAAATATTACATCAGACACGTTTACGGAAGTTAAAAAAGAAATAAAAGAATAACGATAAACTTTGTGTTGTCAAAGTTCATAGTCAAATGACAATCTTGCTAACAAGTCTAAAATGCCTTATTTTATTTTCTAGTGTAATTCTTCCGGGTGGGGAGGCGCCTTTGAGGAGATCTCAAATCAACGGCTACGCAGACGCGGGCCAGCACATCTACGAGCTGGCAATGGAGATGAACGACGCTGGAGACTACTTCCCCATATTCGGCGAATGTTTGGGACTCCAGTTCTTGATCGTCGTAGCTTCAGGACGAGGCGAGCCGCAAAACAAAATGAGGTGTCACGGTTTCGGCAATTTCCCCATTTATTATGCTGATGGTAAGTAACTTTAGGTACCTACCTATTATATTTATTTTAGTTACTTTAATTTAGTAACCACTTTATTTTCTTGTGTTAAGGTAAAAAAAAAAATGAATTGTTTGACTTGCTAGTCCGATTAAGGGTTAAGTTATTTTGATTTTGGGGTAGAGCTTTATCCAGCAGTGGGTTTCATTTAGCTGAAACGAACGAACTAACTATATTTCGATTAATATGATTAATATTGTGATGTTTCAAGTTAGTTTCAATTTATTTAACATAATATGTACAATTTTGTTTTAGGTTTCAGAAACAGCAAGCTGTTCGCTGGGGCTTCTGATGACGTGCTCGACATCCTGAAGAACGAGGCTGTTACTGTTAACGCTCATAAGTTTTGCATCACAGATGAGGTAAGTTTGTATCTATCATATATCATACAAAAAAAAAATACGTAAACGTCAATAAAATTTGAAGAAAACAACTTAAGTTACTTGTATAGGAAGGAAAAAGTTAAAGTTATCCGCTAGTGGGGGACAATGCAGCAACGCTACTGAAATCTTTCCGTTGGTCCCTCCTACTAGTGAACTACGACGCAAATTAGTTTGCAGACATCAAAACTGAAAAAGTTTGGTTATCCCTCGTCTAGCTACTCTTTTACACAATAATTGACCAAAAAAGACAGGTCTCATTGAGGGACTAAGTTCATAATGATAGGCGACTTTATTAATATTTTTTGATTTTTTTTTCAGAACCTTAAAGCCTTCAATCTGACAAAAGACTGGCTGGTGTCCTCATACTCCGACGATATCTACGGAGCCAAGTTTATTGCTTCGATTGAACACACCAGGTAACTTATTCTTCGACTTCTTACTTAACAGACTCATCGCATCCAAGAAATATTAAAGACCTGGCCATTGAATTTTTACATTACCTTTAAAAAGTAAACTACACCTGGGCCTACCGATCACATAAAGCCTGGTCTCCAGCGCGTGTTTTGCCCTACACAATCAACATTCAACAAAATTGCCTACATAAATGTTGAATGTTGACATGTTTTTGTTGATTGGTCTACACAAAACACGCGCTGGTGACCTGACTTAATAGGTTCACTTAATGATAAATATAGAGGTTTGTAACACAAACAATCTTTCAGGTATCCATTCTACGCGCTCCAATTCCACCCTGAGAAAATTTTCTTCGAGTGGAAGCTGCAGAGAGGGTATCCTCGCACAGAAACCGCGATGAGGGCAAGCAAATACTTCATGGACTTCTTCGTCAGTGAATGCAGGAAAAACACCCACTCCTTCATAAACGCTGACGAAGAAAGGTCGTACCTTATTGACAACTACAAACCTACTTTCACAGGGGATTTGAGGATACATTACGAGTCCTACTTCTTTGATCCGAGGGGAGATGTTAAGAACGCCAACCACTTCTGAATAGGTATTTAACAAATTCTACACCTGAAAATGTATTATTGTATTATAATGTCTGTTATTGTTTTTGACACCCAACCCTTTATCAAGCTTATGATTTGTTGAACCTTATTTCATCTCAATAAAGTTCAAATGGTTGGTAACTTAGTTACCACTAGGTAAAGGGTTAAGAACTGATTCCTGATAACCTCATTTGTTAAAAATATGCATTTATTTTTATGACATGACATTGATATGTTAGCAGAAAAATAGCTAGGTAGTTTAGCAATGTATAATTTAAGTAGGTATTCTAATAAAAATGTTATATGCTCACATAAGTTATTGGCTGAGCTAGATAAATCCAATTAAAAAAAATGTTTTATGAATAACGAGATCTATATAAATATTGTATCTGTCGGATTTATTACGTAAATACGCGTAATAATGTTTTTTTTTTGCTGACGAAGACTCTTTGGTCTCTTTGGATATCGACACAAACAAGTAGTTTGTCATATACTTGATAAGATATAACGTATCTGATAGCCTTGACTCTTTAATCGAAGTGTGAAAGTATGGCTGCAGGTGCATGTGTGAAGTTTGTTATTTATGGTGGTGAAGGTTTAATTTCATTCTTGAGTATACAAAGTGTTGAAACAAGGGCCCAAAAAGTAAATCCCAATTTCGATATTCTTGTTCACTAAACCAAATATTTGGAAAATGTGGGAAAATAACAAAATTTAGAGGTGAAATCATTGACTCTATTTTTTAGTTTCTTGGTGTAAATCGGAATTGTTTGATGGAAAATGAGAGCATTTGTGAGACAAATGTACTGAAATGTAAGTTTAATTAATGACAAGCTTCCTTCACTTTGTATCACAAATAATGAAATTAATTTATATGGTTGGTCGTGTGTTTAGTCAGCTGGTCTGATGATAGTGAGTGATTGTGTAGCCATAGAGTGTAATAGTGTGTGTGTAAGAGTCAGGCAAGATGCATATTGCCTTTTTGTTCCTTATTCATTCCTTAGAAATAATTTACTGAACTAATGCCAAATAAATCTTAACGTGTTGTAATAAAGTAGGTACTTTAGTAATAAATAAAATATGTATATTATACCAAAACCAGTTTTAAATAAATATTTTGTAAATTACCGACAAGAAGTTTTACTTACATTATTTATTTCCCAAAAATACACTTACAAGTTTCCTCAAGCATAATTTAAAAGCTTTATCGATTAAGTTCCCGAAATTGTTGAACGTCATTGTTTGATCGATCGATGACAAAAAATAATATCATAACACTAGCCCATAATACTTAAAATAGTGATAACGCAAGTGAAGCAGCAAATCGAACGCACAGCGTTGAGCTCTGTGATTGGTTCATGTGTGACCCTGTGCGTCCACGCCCACTGTGAGACGTTGAAACTTGGTATGTAGATGTATTCTGTAAACCGCATTAAGATTTTATATAAAAATAGAAAAAAAAACAATGAATGGGGTCCCCACTGCCCATTTTTTTTTCATCAAACCTATACGTGTGGGGTTGGTATCTATGGATAGGTCTTCAAAAATGATATTGCGGTTTCTAATATCACTTTTTTCTAAACTGAATACTTAGTTTGCGCGAGAGACACTTCCAAAGTGGTAAAATGAGAGTACCCCCACCTCCTCTAACTTCTAAAATAAGAATATGACAAAACTAAAAAAAATTATATGATGTAAATTACCATGAAAACTAACAACGAAAATTGGTTTGAACGAGATCTAGTATTAAGTAGATTTTTTAAAATATATTTTTAAAATTTTTAAAGTTACTTTTCCTTTCCTCATGAACGCGTAGAGGTATTTAATTGAAATTCATATCAAATACTCTATAGTACCTTTAAGTTGTAACAAAATCAAAGTTATATATGTACGATATGTACCTATGTATGTAAAGTTATGTATACCTACAGGTTTGTACGGAACCCTCAGTGCGCGAGTCCGACTCACACTTAACCGGTTTTTAAGTTTCTAGAAAAAGTTTTGTATTTTTCATCAATGAAAAGAAGGTGATTTTTTTTACATACCTACAATTATAGAAATTCTGTCAAAAAAAAAATTTGAGAAAAGTCAAGTCAGGATTTGGATTAGGATTGAATATAGAAATCCAGCATTGTAATTGCATCTTCGACTCCATTGTAAGTTTCATTTTTCTAACTGCCATGAAAAGTTTAATTTATTTCTATAAAATTTATGAGTCAACTAAAATCTTCGACTCCATTGTAAGTTTCATTTCTCTAACTGCAGTCCGTGTCATGAAAAGTTTAATTTATTCTATAAAATTTATGAGTCATCTAAACATGAGTGACATCATAAAGTTACCTGTTGCACAGTAAGCCAAATGACAACCCTTATCAGGATTAGAGTAATTGCATCGATAAGTTGATAACGTATTTGTTAAAACAATGGGTTGTCGCAAACAATGCAGCGCGAACACGTCCGAGCAAATCAGTCCGCGCCCAGTTCTACGCTGCTTGGCAGGAGGTTATCTATTTTTGTTCAGAGTGCTTTCATGAGATCTAAACATGCGGAGATTAAATTGGAACAAAACGTCATCGGTGTGTTTATTGCTGTTGGGGTTTTAAACATCGCGTTCATGTGGTGAGTTCACCGGCATTTGCTAAACATCGATTTAATGTAAAATGAACCGCTCTGGACTGAAGACGTATTCTAATACGCATGCGTAACTTCGTGCTCGTGAAAAACGCGTCAAGTTTGAATAAAGCGGGTGAAGTTTTGATTGTAAGTACTAAGAAACCTTTTCATAGCGTGATTAGCGTGTTATGCTGTTAAAATTAAATTAAAATCAGTTATTACAGATAAAATAACATTATTGTAGTATGAGAACGCAGGATACTCAAAAAGAAGTTAGGGAGATATTATTAACTAACGACGGCGTTAGTTAAATTGTGATTATTGTTCATTTGTAAATTAATTTTGTTGCTAAAATATAAATTAATGTTTGAGTTAAGTATAATACCTACTTATTTGTCTGTGAGAGATCGGAGTCTAAACTGGCAGTAACCTGCCTTAAAGCACCACGCCTCCAACCCAAGAATGTTACTACATACTTTAGAAGTGATATTTTTTTGCAGGTCGTGGGGTATACCGATGGTCAATTGTTTGCAATTGATGACGATGTCGGCGTTTCTGTTGATCTTGTTTTGTTTCCTCGGAAGTGAGAGCGCGACGGTGGTGCGGAGTGAGCCGGTGGCCATCAATGAAAGGCCCATCATAGGCGTTCTCTCACAAGAACAAGCGTATCATCTCACGAGCCTATACGCAAAGGAAAACTTTACAAGTTACATAGCAGCTTCATACGTCAAAGATATAGAAGCTTCCGGAGCGAGAGTCGTGCCTATTCTGTAAGTTGGTCAACATAATATTGGCTTTACTGTTTGATTTATTTATTGATGTATTTGAATCTATTTTGAGGCGATGCTTTGACGGTTTATAAATAATTATTGTTAATTTGTTGTTTGTTTTTAGGATAGGTAAGAATCGGGAATATTACAAAGAACTCCTTGAAAAAATTAATGGGTAAGTGCACAATTTCAAATAAGTACTTGCTTACCTACTCTACTACTTGCTATACACTATGCCAATGCTTACGCGTCAGATTTTGTTAATAATCTATACTTCTATACATAGCTGGGCATTAACTCGTTAATCCGTTAATCGTTAATTAACGAAGTTAACATTTCTATTAACGGATTAACTTTTAAGTTAACTTTAAAAAATGTTAACGGACTCGTTAACTTCCGTTAAATTATACTAAGTCCGTTAATCGTTAATCCAGTACCTACTATTTACCAAAAAGATACAGCAGGCGCGCTGAAAAACGCATTCTGACACGTACGTTCGGGCTTCCAGAACTTCTAGAACCCAAAACAACAGTTTTTGTAACCAGATCACTAAGGGTTCTTACACACGAACAGCAATTTGCTGTCGACGCAACGATAATATAAAAAATGCATTTTTTTTTGTTTATTTACAACTGAATTTAAGACCAATTCTCCTCAACCGATTGAGCTGAAATTTGGTATACTCGTGTAAGTACGATGACAATGCAATATTATGGTACCATTGAGCTGGTCTGATGATGGAGTCAGGAGGTGGCCATAGAAACTCCTAAATGAAACGGCGGCATCGCATCGAATTTGGGTTCGTTGGATTTGCTTTTCGAGCACTTTAGTACTAGATGAAGTCCAGGGTCCAGATGATGGAGTCAGGAGGTGGCAATAGGAATTCCTAAACGAAACGGTGGAAACTTCTCGAATTTGGGTTTGTTGGATTTGCCTTTTCGAGCACTTTGGTGCTAAATTGTATAGTAATTGTACCAAGGCTATGAGATTGAGTTGAGATACAACTAAAAAGTATAATAAAATTATAATAAAAAAAATAAGTGTTTATTCTGAAAGGCAGTTATACTAAAACGAAAAAAATAATTGTACTTATGCAAAGTTCAAATAATTTCGAAAGCTTGTAGCGCAAATATAAAAGAGGAATAAATTCCATGCGCGATACAAGCTTTCGAAATTATTTGAACCTTGCATACACTTATTTTTTCGTTTTATTATCACGTGTTAACGGATTAACGATTAACGTTAACTTGCGTTAAATCTTCCGAAATGTAACGTTTTAACGTTTAACGAAGTTAATTTTTTTAGTAACGGTTTAACGATTAACGAAGTTAACTATTTGATTAACGGTGCCCAGCTATGCTTCTATACTAATATTATAAATGCGAAAGTAACTCTGTCTGTCTGTCTATCTTGCTTTCACGCCTAAACCACTGAACCGATTTTGATGAAATTTTGGCATAGAGATAGTTTGAGTCCTGGGAAAGGACATAGGATAGTTTTTATCCCGGTTTTTGAAACAGGGACGCGCGCGATAAAGTTTTTCTGTGACAGACAAAATACCACGCGGGCGAAGCCGCGGGCGGAAAGCTAGTGATAAAAATTTTATAGCTCTACACTTTAATGTTTTGTAACTTGATACCTTGTGTTCACAAACAGGCAATTTAGATAATTTGTTCTTAATAAAGACCGAGAAGAGTTGTAACCAAGTCAATTTCTGGCTGAATCGCTGATTTATTAAGCAAGCAACTTCACGAATTCGTTGCTCTTTCGACACTCCACGACTCCACATAAATGCATGATTATAGAAGTCAGCTTTTTTACAACTTACCTCTGTTAGGGGAGAGTGGGGTAAGACGGGGTCCTTAACGTTTGATGGTAAATAAAANCTCTGTTATAACTTTCTTCGATCATCCCTATTAATTAGTGAAGGCCAAAAGCTGTTCACCACAGTAGTAAAGACAGAATGACCACTGTTGCTCTCTTTTCGTAGAACCCGTTGATATATTTTCCAGAGTACTCTTTCCCGGTGGTGGGACCTACTTTAACCAGTCAAACGGCTACGCTGACGCGGGCCAGCATATCTACGAGCTGGCGATAGAGATGAACGACGCTGGAGACTACTTCCCCGTATTCGGCACGTGCCTCGGCTTCGAGTTGCTCGTCATACTGGCCTCGGGCCGCGGCGAGATTGAGAATAGAGTGACCTGTAAAGCGTACTGCAACTCCGCTCTGAACTTCACAAGCGGTAAGGATATGCCTTTACCTATCTTTGACCATCCATCCACGAGGTGGACAAATTATGACCTCGTAGGTTGCGGGTAGACGCTAGACACAGGCCGCTGCCAAACAGTCAACGAATAGGGTAAGCTTTTATTCAGCAGGGGACATTCTGTGGCTGAAATGATTACCATAGTCTATCATTTCAGTCTTAGAATTTCCAGATTGTTCGGCACGTGCCTGGGCTTCGAGCTGCTCGTCACACTTGCCTCGGGCCGCGGCGAGCCTGAGAACAGAGAGTAAACCTGACCTGTAAAGCGTACTGCAGCTCCTCTCGGTAAGGATATGCTTTTACCTGCCTTTGATTAGGTATTCCATCACTATCATTATCATCCACCCACGAGGTCGACAGAATATGACGGTTTCATAGGTTGTAGATAGGCGCTGGATGCAGGCCGCTGTCAACGAGCCATTCTGGAAGTTAATGGGGTAAGCTTTTATTCAGCAGGGGACATTCTGTGGCTTGACTTGAACAATGGCACAATATTGAGTAAACACACAGTAAAATGTATTTACCTAACATTATGCTAATAATTGTAATACATCTTTGGCTCTTGACACGATTTATACGGACATCCTGTGCACTCGATACTGCAGTGGTCGATATTGAAACTTGATATATCAATAGTTTATGTTTTATTTATTTATCATTTAAAAGACAATTACATTATTACTGGCATAATAACAATGGTGACTGAGTTTCTTGCGCTGCTTCTTCTCAGCACAGACCCATTTATTGTCCCGAAGCAGAGGTAGGGTGTTAAAGGCTTTTTAAAAGCCTATTTGTAGAAAATAAATTACTTTTATTACTTTGAGATAGCTTTTAAAAACCACTTGAGCTATGGAGTTAAAAATGTTTTTAAAATTCTCAAAGTCCTATTTTTGTATTTTCAGATTTTCGCAGCAGTAAGATGTTCAAAGAAATAGACAATGACTTGGTGACGATGTTTGAGCATGAACATTATACTGCCAACGCTCACAAATTCTGCATTGTTGATGAGGTTCGTATTTTTTATGTATTTACAACAAAAAAAGGTAGATACCACGTTATGAGTACCTACTCAGGAAATGGGTATAGTAATGACTGCAGCACTCCATTATGTCAGTATTACAAACCTTTAAAGCTCAATTCAAATTGAAGCCTCTTTTCGTGATACGGATCTAAGATACTGAAATTTATTGACTAAATTACTGATGCAGGCTTATAATTTTTTTTAATTAAATTTATACATATTATAAATTTTTATTTAACAGAATATGGAAAGGCACAATTTGAGTGTGGACTGGAGAGTGACTTCGTACTCTGAAGACGAAAACCAGCTGCGGTATATTTCAAGCATAGAGCACAAAAGGTACGAGTAATAACTTTTCAATAATTTTATGCTCCGAGCTGGGTAGTTGACACCCTTAAACAGCAATTTATTCAAAGGTACAATTTTTTTAAAAACTTTTTTCTATTCCTGAAAACCGAGTAAGTTTTCATTTTCAGTAGCTCTGAAATCAATAACAGTCTGTAGATTGAGTTCGCGAACTAGTGAAATTAGATTCCATGTACCATACAAAATATGTAAGGATTCACGTTTCGACACCTTATAAAAAGTAATGTCAAGTGTATTAATACCGGTCAATACCTATATCGAATGCAATTAGACTTGAAGACCGCGGCAAATACATTTAGTTGACTACCTGCCCTCTCCACAGATATCTATTTTGGTTAATCATTTAAAGCGTCTATACCTATATAGTAACGCTATTAGGTAAGCCAGTAACTTGCAAGTTTATGGAAGACAGGAAAGACAGAAGAGAAATAAATAACTTTACGATAATGATTTGATCAATAAGCAAAGAATTAAGTAGCTGTAGAAAAATATAAAAAAAAAATTAAAATAAAAAACTACTCTGCTTACAGATATCCTTTCTACGGAGTGCAGTTTCATCCAGAGAAGGCTTCGTTTGAATGGAAAAAGTCCCGCAAGTACCCCCATTCAATCAACGCAATAAAAGTGAACAGATATTTCATGGACTTTTTCGTAGAAGAATGCAGGAAGAGCATCCACTCTTTCAAGAACGAAGAAGAAGAAAACAGTTATTTAATCTACAACTATGCGCCTTATTTCACTGGAAAAAACGGCAGTATGTACAATCAATGCTACTTTTTTGAGCCTAAAGGCACGAATGTAGAGTGATGTCAACATTATGTAGTGAAAATAAGTATTACTTAGATAGCTTCATTATAATTTTTGAACAGTCACATTAAATGATATATATTTTAAATTATACCTATTGCAGTTTCTATTGATAAAACCCTTTGTATGATGTATTGCTAACATTTTTATTTGTTTCCTAAATGGACGATAAAATAGCCTGGGTTAAAAATAACTGCAAATGCCAATGTGAGTGATAAAAATAGAGACGCAAAGTGCTTCGATAAATGATGGATTCCATTAATACGTCGGGTCTCATAGACAGACATGATACCGTAAGTTCGTAATTCATGTACAGTCGAGGTCATAAATATATTATCATAAATATTGGCAGTGCCAATGTTTCAAAATATTGTTAGCGTTTTAACGATCATATATTTCAATACAAACTTAAACATCAATAAAATGAAGGTAATCATATAAACTGTTCATTAACATGATGCGGTAGCGCAGTCAATACATACTGCGCTACTGCGCTATAATATTTTGAAACATTGGACACTGCCAAATATACATATTTATGAACTCGACTGTAGATATGAAATTATATTAAATAGCATCATAAAGATTTTCCAGAATTAGTTTGACTTGCAAATTTGAAAAAATGCTTGTTTACAGTAGAGTCTTAAAATATTTTTTCCATGAGATTACTATGACGGTGTAAGACGAACTCTATGTATTTATACGAGTATAGCTATCAGAATGAAAATTACGCTGTCCAGTAAACGCACTATAATAAAAGAAAAACAATGGTTTCAAATAACTTGGATAAGTTCACCGAAAATGTCCCTATATTGTGACACATCTAAAAATTTAGTAATTTTGTTAAGTTGCAATAAGATCTCATAAATGACGAATTAAACCTACTTCACGAGCCAGAGAATATGAAATCTGAAAAGAAAACTTGAATGTTTGCTACCCGCAAGTACTAACAATGCTATGCTATCAAACGCCCACTCGAGTTTAATTTACGTAAACCGCATAACATAATCTAGACTGTGTAATAAAGCCTGCGGCGTGTATTGTCTTGAAGTAATCGGCTTTGAGTTCCTGACGAAGTCCGGCCGCAGAGGCCGCAAATAGCCGGCGGCTGTGTGTGAGCCCGTCAGATTGTTTAGGCACAGGGGGGCGTCACGCCCGGCTGTTGGGGCTGCAACTAAAATAAATCACTGTATTACCAAGTGGCTCACGTAACTAACAGTAATTAGACGTTTGTCACCCCCCGATGCTTTGTTTTGACGGTTTCAGTTGTGGTTTCTACCTGACCGAAAACAATTGATTTGGAAGGGCGTCGTTTGATATGACATTAGTTGTGCCCATTCATGGTGACGTAGGTATTTGAATTTCATACGCGGTTGAATATTCAGAATAGTTATTTGCGTTAGGTAATGATTTACATGATAATATCAGTTCCTACTACGACAGTCTATTAGTGGCTCGTGACGCCTATGGCTATATGATCATAGAATTTGAATTTGACGAGGAACAAAATATCAGAATTTTCCAGTTCAAGTCTCGTTAAGAGAAAAATCTAACGTAATATGTTCTTAACCATGAGCCTGCAACAGGAAAAAATCCCCGAACTTATACCTAAAATGGACTTTAATTAAACACTCAATTGAATGATGCTTGCCTTAATTAAATCAAAATGTTTTCCATGGGTTAGAAAAGGGCTGAAGGAGCCTGTAAGGTCGATGACATTAAAGCCAACAGGTTAATTGAATGCTGGATTATGCGGGACATGAATATAAGCGGTGGGAGGTGGGTTATATTTAACTAATAGTATGTGCCGCAAACAATAATAGTGTGAAACGTTTCGTGATTTTCAACGAAGATTTTCCTTCTAAAAGGAAATATGATGTAAATGAAAAGGTTTAAAACACCACAGGTTAGTCATAACATTTTAACAAAATAACAAAAATTGGATCGCAAATGACTGAAGACGATCATTGTTAGTAAAGATAAAGCACGAGCTACGAGTAAACTTTAACATACGAGATTAAAGTAAGCTAATGACTCACATTGAACTGTAGATACACTGGAGTAATAAAGAGGTCCGAAACAACCACGCCGTATCGATGTTGATGGGAAAAGTTAGATTGTAAACCGTTAATAGCTTTACCAGTATCATCGGTTGTTGACATTCGTTTGGGACTTACGAATCAAACGACTAAACGATACGTATGTACGTTAAACGTTTTCCTAAGAGATTTCCGAACTCTACCACAGTTGAGCATATCCCTTTAACATTAAATGCATCTGTTGCAAGCAATTAAACACTTAATACTTTAATTTAGGTATTTTGTTACTGTCGTTTAACTTGGAAATTAGCCTGTAGAGCCACTTAAAATTTCAATGAAAGTTGTCTTTTTCGTAGTTATAGAGATCATTCCCCTAAAGGTGATGAAATTTTCAGTACATACGGGTCATGACTAATGCAATGAAAATTAATGCAGATGCTTAAAAATGTTCATCATACAAGTGAAAAATGAATAACAAACAACATAAATAGTTAGGTCGTTATTTTAGCAAGTGCAATTTGGTCAATTTCAATGAGGTTACATATTGATACCTACTTTTAAAAAATGTGCGCTTACGAAAATTTTAACTGCTTCGAAACAACTGTAGACGTTTTGGTGTAGCAAGCAACTATCAAACAGACAAATAAATAGGGATGGGAGAGTTTAGAACGCACGTGGACAGGCACAAAGTACTTAGGTAATTACAATAATTCACATTAGGTAGTCTAGATTCACTATCCCATCAAATGCTAATCATGGTGACGTACATTGACGATAACTGTAGTTGTTCCCATTTTGTAGCAAATTCTCGATTTCTTCGACCACATCCATTATTATTCCACTTTCTTTTCAACGTTATATGTAGTGAGAAATTCGCCGCCGCCTTCCGTCATTTATTCAAAATTTTGACATTAGCATTTTTTTTGACATTGCGTTTTGTAACCGGAAGTTCATCGGTTTATGGCTGTGCCTGTACTATTACTTATTCTGTGGCTGTGCGCGCACAAGGACTTTTTGTCACTGTGACAATTACAGTCAAATTTTTTAGAAATCAGCAGAAATGTCATCAAATATGTCCAACTGACATAAAAATATTTTTAGTCTGTGAACTAGTGATGCGACAAAACCTCTCGTTAATCGCGAAGAGAAATATTGTAGTACATTGCGTATCATCGCCGGGTGATCGTCAAAATACTAAAAATATGCAACAAAGTCGCAACGAATGTGAACTGATTATGAAATTTTCGAGAACAGGAAACAAACTGTATGCACAGATGTAATCAAAAAACACACTGGATAATAAAACAATCAATGATATCCGTAAAGTTATTAAACTTCAAATAGTTGCAAAAAGTTCTGTTTGACAGTGTTGCTACTAGTGTTAGTTTTCTTAAAAATAAACAACGGAACAATACGTAAGCATAATTGCATAAAAAAGTAAAATAATTTCGTTTTACACTTAGGCTGAGTTACACCACCTAACTTTGACCGTAACTTTAACGATAACCGGTGTTTTTTGTATGGAGTTTGACAATTTTTGACGTTTGTCAATGCTAAAGTAAGATGGTGCAACTCAGCTTTAGTACTAGTAGTAGTAGTTTTTTTTGTCCGCTACTAACCGAAAGTTGCAAGTGCCTATGTTTATTACTTACCTATTGTGTTACTCGTAAGTTCATAATATAGCCTCACGCAGTACGTGATGTGATGAGTCAAATCCATCACAATTATGAGCCAACGAACCCTGGTAATTAGGATAGATTTTCTTTTAGATAGGATAAGGTACTCCTAGAATCTACGACTAAGTACCTGCTAAATTAACCTTTTATAAGTCGGTAGGCTAGCTAATGTTTGGATTATACCAAATTCTTTGTATTTGCCTAACTTCTAGTGAACGTGCTGCTACATACCTACTATCAAAAAAGTTGACGCATGACCATCTTAAGGCTTTTATTTCTTCACAGCGACTAGACCCAACCTCCAAGTGTCATCTGTATGTATTTAAATAATAGACTTAGGCTGGGTTGCACCATCTTACTTTAACATTAACAAATGTCAAAAATCTGTCATACTCATACAAAAAAAAAACACCGGTTATCGTCATAGTTACTGTGAAAGTGAGGTGGTGCAACTCAGGCTTCGGATGGACGTGGTGGTGTGTCTGAGAATAGTCATTTCGTGCAAAGGAAACATTTTTAAAGTGATCATACGTCTACTTTGTCGATAATACCTATACCTACAACCTTTATATTTGTTTCTTCCAGAGTTTTAATATTCTTACAGAAGGCATAAAAAGGAATGGCACAGTACTGCCCGATTGATCCTCGGTCATTGGCACAGAGCAGCATGTCCAATTCTCTTCGTCCTTGATAGATGACGGCAAGGGCCCAGTTAACTTCCTCCCGTAAGGTTCACTGCCCACGAAATGACTGATACAATATTGTCTTACTTATAAATACATGATTTCTATAAATAACATTGTCACGTGACTTAAAGTTGACCCTTTTATCTTGATTTGTTTTAAATATCTTACTTGCCTGATCTTTCCCATAGTTTACGAGAATAAAAATAACGGAATAAGAATCGTGTTTATCCATCCAGGAAACCAAATTGTAACAGTGGTAATCGTAACAGTTTATGTAAGCGTCTGTTGATGATTGCTTCCTACTGAGTTACTACAAGGTTTGAAGGAGCTCTAAATAGCCTCAGCAAAATATCTTGGACACTAAGGCTGGGTTGCACCATCTTACTTTAACTTTGACAAACGTCAAAAATCTGTCAAACTACATACAAAAAGCACCGGTTATCGTCATAGTTACCGTTAAAGTTAGGTGGTGCAACTCAGCCTTGAAATAAATTTTCATGCAAAAGTAATAAGTAAAATTAAATAAGCGGATTAGTGTTCCAAAAATAGATCTTATGATTTTTGTGTACCTCTATCTGTTATTTTTTTAACTTTTCATTTATTAGTTATTATTATGGTGCATGATACCAAGGTCAAGAAATATCAAAATCAGACTATCAAGATTGTATGTTACGCTTTGGGAACTAGGTATTAGAAGAACTTGTACCAACTTCTTTTTTATCCAAACACAAGGAGGCAAGGGCGTCGACCCATTAGCCCTGGCTTCCCTTATTACGGATCTATTTATTTCCCGTAAAGGGAAGTTTAGATACACGGACATCGGACACGCTTTATTGAATCGGCCAGCAGCTGATACGGCTAAGGCCGCGTTCATGCGTGCACGCGAGGCTGGCGGATCTTAAAACAAGGCGAGAAATTAAGCTCTGGTAGTGCAAAGTGTGCGTCCCTGGCTCTTTAAAAAGAGTTACGTATGAAGTATTTTTCTATTAAAATGGAACTTTATAACATCGTCATGAAACTACACTAAGGCTGTATTGCACCAACTTGTTTTTATGGACAGATTTTTGGCGTTTGTTAAAGTTAAAGTAAGATGGTGCAACCCAGGCTAATACATATTTCTTTCTCAGTAATTTGTAAAGAACGGGTTGGAACAAAACGATGATGAGTTCAAACCATAGTTCAAACTATGAAACTTTTTCGCTGAAAATATACCTAATACTTTACGCCCAACACAAAAACTGCTAATAGTCAGTTTTTGTGTTGTACGTAAGGTATTCGATTAAATAATATAAATGGAAAGGCACTTTTTGGGGTTCTCATAACTAGCAAGTGATGTTCTCTTTCAAAATTAAAGGTAAGTATTCCCACAAGTTTCAGATTACTAGAAGTTTTCGTCAGCATGTTCCTTACAACACCATGCAATAGAACTACATGAAGCACATATCCAGGTGTTCTAGAATATTCGGACACATTGTCCATACATTTGACACCCGCTACGTCCTGCATCTTGCTCACACTGAGACCCGCGTTTGCATGAAAGTGTCCACAGCGTGAACATTGCGGACGTGCGTGCGTGACTGGATTCAGCAAATAACGATTTGCTAAATATCCATTTTTCTTCAGACAAGTGTGAATGGAAATAAGTATGGTTTAAATTAGGCTTAAATAGGCTGCTTGTTAACAAAAGTTTAATGTATGTAATGAAACTTGATTTTTATAAGTTCTAGGACGTTAATGACTCGGCATAAGATAAGTACCTGTAATAATTTTATTACTAAGTTTGTGACCTGACAAGAACTTACCATTAAGGCTCATACTTTTGTCTCCTAATCTATTTTATTCACAAACTCCAGTATCATCTTTGTTAACAACAACACAACGTACAGCTGAAAGTTAATAAGGTTACTGTACGATAATGATGAGAGTGATTATTTTCGCAAGTCAGGCTTGTACTTGGGTTCAAAGTCCAGTACTGTAAAGGTTAACTTTAGTGAAAGCGCCTTTATGCTCACGACAGCCATTTAGCACGGCTGAAACGATGATTGATGCGGTGATATAGGAAAGATTAACGTGTTCAACGAAGTATGCCGAACAGTTTATTTATACTTAGGTACAGACAGGTTAGTATAGGGCGAATGTTTTGGACCAGATTAGGGTATAGGAATAAATACTAGGAACTGAAATGATTGATTGACGTTGATATCAGGAGAGTGTCAACAATTACGGGTAAGTACTTAGCTGGAAAATGGTGATTTATTGTTGAATAAGTGGTGAACCTTTGAATGAACAATTGGAAATGGAAATNATGGAGAAGAAATAGCGATCTAAATAAACTTTGAAAATAGGTAAAACTTTTCTCAAACTCACTGATGCCGTACAAATTAAAGATAAGGAAGTAATTTCATTAATATCGTACATTGTCTTTTGCAGTTAAAATCCAATTATTATTTCTAAAGGTAAAAAGTTAGAGGAAACAGAAAAAGTAGTTATTTTTCTATTAATTAAATAATTAAACATTTGATCTCAAACAAAGATATCTACTACATTGACAGTACTAATATTAACTACTTGGTCCAGTTAAACTCGTGGAAACATTTCCCCCCTATAAATTTGTTGTTATTAATCATCACGTCATATGGAGTATCCCAGAGAAAAGTAGTTTTCCTAACAATGTCCTTAAGAGGAGCCTTACCTACTTATCTTCCTAACACTAAACAAGCCCTATAAACATGTCAAACCTGTTAAGATTAAGTAGTTTCTGTTGACATGAATGTCTGAAATAAGTTATGGGACTCTTTCGGACACAATAAGATGCCATTCGATATGGCAGCACAATGTAATATCGGGAGAGAAGTGGATAAGTGGAAGAATGTTTTTTCATTGTAACAAGATTTTACGACGTTTGCCCCTGATCGGCCGAAGGGCCATTGAACTCTAAACGTTTGCTACCCTTTCCATGACATGAGCTTTTTGTGGGATCTTTTTTTAAAGCGATACCGATGATTAAATTCGATTAAGCGCATGTATTGAGTTAATTAACTCAATTTATCAGAAATCATTAAATTAGGGACCTTCTCAAGTTATTTTTAAAACAACACAATATGAAAACCGTTACAAACAAGAAACATCAACATCCTAAAAATACAAGTTACACAAATTAATTGAAATTACTTATTCATTGAACAGAAATTACAACAATACGTTAACATTCTCTCTTAGGAAATTATCTTTCAGTCAATGTTGGAGTAGCAGTCACGTAGTAGTAAGATTTATTAGACCGTAGTTACACCCTAGTTGAACTCTGGCTTAAATTGTCATTTAGTATGGATATGTCATTTTAATCCAGGGTGCATCCTAGGTGTAACTTTTTATTATAAGGGGGCTAGGGTTTTAGAGGAAAAGTTAGCAGAAAATTTAGCCCAGCCGTAGCATCAGTAATCTGTGGTCCAGTTGACAGTTAAAATTATCCCGCATTGTTGTTATTTTTAAGGTTTTGATTTTTACTGTGAATCTCTGTGGATACTGCTTGTTACACGAGC